GGAAGGAGAAAAGAGTGCCTGATAGAAACTGCCCTACCCAAAAACCTTCTTTGCTTTGTACTTAAGCACTCAAGGATGACTTTCATCAAGGTCGGATCTCTCTTAAACCTTCCAATCTTTTTTTTCAATCCATTCTTTGTTTGTTCCCCCCTCCCCCCTTGTTAAATGGCCTTTTCTAAAGGTTAACTGTGAACAGATGTTTAAGGTTGAGCAACCTCAACCCAAAGTGAGGACACATCAGTGTTTTCTGCAAAGGACTAGGGGGAGTGGAGCAAAATGGCCACTGTCACTTTGCAGAAGAACCACCATGCATCCCACGAGGGAGACCACTGCTGCTCAGAGCTTGTGGTTCATGCCACCACTCATTTTTACAAATTTCACTTCAATGACCATAACTGGTCATCTTTGAAGTCTCATCTAAAAGCTAACAGCATCATCCACCATCAGAAGAGAACACACTACAAAGCAGAACCTCCAGGAAGACCTTGCAACACGGATGGAGCTGTAGGCCTCCACAGCACAGCCCTTCAGGACAACCTTCAGGGCTCCAGCGTGGGCAAAGGGCTGAGGACACAAGCCAGCAGACAGGATTTAGGGCTAAGAACCTGAAACTGAGGTGCTGCCAAGAGACAAGTGGTGACTCAGCCTTACAGAAACAGATGGGGTGAGGGAAAAAGGATGACACAAAAGACAACCAGACCCACGCTTGAGTCACTGAGAAAATAAGGAGAGTGGGAAACAGAAGAAAAGTGGAAAGGGAAGGTGGGAAAAAAAAAAATGAAAAACAGCTTTCATTAAAGATCTTTCTACCAGGATGGGTGGGAAGGTGAAGGAGTGGAGCTGGGGTGAGAAGGTGACACTCCCTCCATTAACCCTCCCTTCAGGAGTAGGGACACACTGTGGCACAACAGGAAGGGGGGGAAGCCAAGGATGAAGAAACATCTGAGGAACCAATATATGGGCTTTGTCCTCAGTACAAGAGCCAGCAAGTCAGAAAAGCAGCGAGTCACTGGATGTGGGGGCAGCCCCCCCCAAAAAGCACAGCACAGGACAGCGAAGAGGAGCCCACCCCTCACGCCCCACGTCGCTCCTGCTCACCGTGCCCATTGCAGTAATAGATCCACTTCTCCCTGTTCTGCGTGGGGGTGGTGGACTTTTTCATAATAGCCTTTTCCACAATGGCACTGGGGTCTTGCCTGGGTCCCTTCTTCAGAGTCCGTGAACTCTTCCTGACGCTGCAGACGACGATAACCACCAGGACCAGCAGCAGAAAGAGGACGATCATCCATGGCAAGTGCTCGTTGATATCAAAGTGCTGGTGGACGTTCTGGGTACCTCGCCGTGGGGGCCTGTATGGAACACTGGACTTCTCTCCCCCCACCATCTCCAGGGATGGCTGCTTCTCCAGAGCCTGGCTGGTCTGCTTGTGCCGGTAGCTCTGCGCCTGGCTGGTGGCACCAGAGCCCACAAGGGTCCCCCCGGCACCGTCGGTCTTGTTGGCCAAGGTTTCATTGTAGTAGCCTGCTGGCTCCACCATGCTGCTGGATGCACGTGGTGCTGGAGAAGGGATGAAGTCAGGATCTGAAGAGTTCAGACCTGGGGGAGGAGAGGACAGTTCAGTGTCAGGGCCCTGGAGATGTGACACTGCATCACGTCACGGCCCACGTCCTGCCCGGGCACCTGCCTGGCCAGCAACAGAAACCCAACGCCAGGCAGAGAGGAAGGGAAGGGGTGAAGCTGAGGTTTGGCTCTGGGAACAGATGGGTACAGTTACACAGGCAGGTAAAACCAACCCTCGTTGGTTAAGGCCAGGGGCAGCTCATTCAAAGACATGAGTTATTAAAGGCATGTTGTCAATCTGCCTTCGTCCCAAATCCAGTATTTCTCAAAAAGCCTACAGCTTTGAGGGAGCTGGTTTTATTTGTGAACACTACTTTCACTCCAATTTGGTATTTGGACTAGAAATACATGACAATTTGGAGGCTGAGTATCTCTCTGCTGGGTTTTGTTAAGGAAGCACAAGCTCTTTTATGAGCACTGCTAGCAGCTGTGGATGCATCAACAAGAAAAGAGGTTTCTGTAGTAACAGAAGCAACCAAACTTCCCCCCAAGAGCTACTTTCCATCTTCACTGAGTTTTATTATCAACCAACAGCTCTCGGGTCCCAGCCAGATGCATGACCAAAGCCTGGTGAGAAGAGGAAGGGCTGTGGTGGCAAAAACTAGAGCTTATTTTGGAAAGGACTTTTGAATATTGTGTCTCATGCCAGTTGAGCCAGAGAGTGGGTGTAACCACCTGTAACTTGATTTTGCCTCTGCCTTTGTTACCCAAAACACTGACCAGGATATAAGCAGGGAAAACACTTTCACTTTTACCTAATTGCCCACAGTTCATTTCAAAGTTTAGGCAACATCCTCCTGTCCTCTCCCAATGCCACACCAACCTCATGCCAAGCTTTGAGACCTAACAAAGGAGAAGCAGTGGGAGTCCACCCCTGCCCACACTTCCCTGTGGATGCATTCACCAGCTCAAGGTGTGCAGGCCACCAGAATTTGCACTTTTTTTCCATAAAATGCCACATTTGTGATACTGTAGGGAGGCTGCATTCCAGGGGGAGGCTGAGCACCACTGCACATGGGGTCCCACAGCAGCACTGCCACCAGCCATGGCTAAAACACCTCTGTAAAAATTGTCATGATGTGTAATTTCCAATTAAACAAGAGAATGGGGAATTCAATCTGGTCCTCCCCACCCATGCAAACTAGCAAAAATCTTGGAGGTTAAATAAAAAATGTACAGCACAGTCTAGGCTCCAGGAGGGCTGTTTTGGCAACTGTTCCTATTCATTCCAACGTGCTGGCACAGTGTGGGTGAAACACATGGGCAGGAAAGCAGTGAATGCATCAGGAAACAAGTCTGGTGGAGCAGAGCTGCTCTCCTGCTGGGGCTTTCCTGCTGCACCCTGCTCAGGTTTCCCACAAATGCACAAGGACTTGTGCCAGCACAACACCCAGATGGGAAACGTGGCTGTGGAACGTGATGCCCTTTCAGTCCAAACAGGAGGACAGCCAGGAGTCCAATCATGGTTATGGTCACAGTGAAAGCGTTACTAAACGTGGTTTAACACAAGTGAGGGCACCCTGGTGCACTCTGGAGGTGCCTTCTGGCCAAGACGTGAAACCACCGTCCACGCTTTAGACCGAGTTGCCCTTTAACAGCCTAAACCCAACCCCGACGGAGGCAGAACTGCAATCCCACGACCAAAACCACATCTTGTGCTCTGTAGCAGGCGCTACCTTTGGGAAGCTGAGTGGTTGGTGGAACCTCCTCGGGCTCTTCAGTCGCTTGGGTGCTGGAGGAAGTCAAAGACGCGTTCGGCAGAGACGCTGGAGAGCCGCAGACGTTGTCGCTCTCCTTCGTCCCCGGCTTGACGATCACCATGTTCTTCCCAAAGCAGTCAGTGTACGGTTTGCACTTCATCACACTAGAAGGCACATCAGAAAAGGTCCCTCGAGGGCACGGCTTGCACCGAACGTCCTCCGTGTCGGTGCCTTTCTTGCGGACGCCCCAGCCCACGGGGCACACGGTGTAAGGGACGCAGGTATCGTTCGTCTGGAAGGTGCCGGACAGGCAAGTGCACTCGCGGTCGGTCAAGGCAGTACAATGAGTTTTCTCTATCATTGGCAGCTCGCAGGGCGTTCTGCAAGGGTGGCACCTCTCTATGCCGTTCTCGTGCCTCGTGAAGGTGCCGTCCGGGCAAGGGCTGCACTCTCTTAAGGTGCTCTTCGTGCAGTGCTTCGACACGTAGGTCCCCGCGGGACACTTGTCGCAGATGAGCTCTCTGCCGGCGGCGCGGTCCACGTGGCGGTACTTGCCAGGGGAGAGGCTGATGGCGTTCTGCTCGGCGTTCTGCTCCGAGGGCAGCCTCGGCTGCCCGCCGGCGGCGGCAAGGAGCGGCAGCACCTGCAAAAACGACGGGGGG